AAACAAAAAAGGGCAAAAGACTCTTTTTTAATGTTTATTTTTGAGAGACAGAGACAGAGCATGAGCAGGGAAGGGTCAGAGAGAGAAGGAGACACAGAATCTGAAGCAGGCTGCAGGCTCTGCACTGTCAGCACAGAGCCTGATGCTGGGCTCGAACTCATGAACCTTGAGATCATGACCTGAGCCAAAGTTGAACACTCAACCAACTGAGCCACCCAAGTGCCCCAAAAGACTTCTTTTTAAGTGTATTTGAGAGAGATAGCATGCATGTGCACACACAAGTGGGGAAGGGGAGAGGAAGGGGCGGTCGAGAGAGAAAATCCCAAGCAGCTTCATGTGTGATGTGGGGGCTTGAACTCATGAACCACAAGACGATGACCTGAGCCAAAAGCAAGAGTCAGACTGAGCTATGCAGGCGCCCCTGTTTTTTTTTTAAAGGGGCAAAAGACTTTTACACTGAAAACTACAAAGTAATGTTGCTGAATGAAATTAAAGAAGACATAAACAAAAAGATATCTCACATTCATAAATGGGAAGACTTAATATTGTTAAGATGTCCACACTACCCAAAGCAATCTACAGATTCAGTGCAATCCCTATCAAAATGACATTTTGCAGAAATAGAAAAAACAATCATAAAATACATATCGAATCTCAAAGGTCTTTGAATAGCCAAAACAATCTTGAGAAAGATAAAGGTGGAGGCTTTACACACTCTAACTTTGAAACATATTACAAAGCTATGGTACTCAAAACAGTATAGTACTGGCATAAAGGCAGATAAAGAGACCAATGGATGGGGTGCCTGGGTGGCGCAGTCGGTTAAGCGTCCGACTTCAGCCAGGTCACGATCTCGCGGTCCGTGAGTTCGAGCCCCGCGTCGGGCTCTGGGCTGATGGCTCAGAGCCTGGAGCCTGTTTCCAATTCTGTGTCTCCCTCTCTCTCTGCCCCTCCCCCGTTCATGCTCTGTCTCTCTCTATCCCAAAAATAAATAAACGTCGAAAAAAAAATTAAAAAAAAAAAAAAAAGAGACCAATGGAGCAGAATATTAATTCCAGAAATAAACCCACACACAAGGTCAAATGATTCTCAACAAAGGTGCCAAGATTATACAATGAGGAAAGGATAGTCTCTTCAACAAACTGTGGTGGGAAAACAGATATCCACATGTAATAAAAAAAAAAAAAAATGACATTGGACCCTTATTTTATATCATACACAAAAAACAATTATAAATGGATTATAAACGTTAAAACTTAAACATAAGACCTGATATTATAAACCTCCTATAAAAAAAAAAGAGGAAAAGTTTGATGACATTAGTCTTGGCAATGACTTCTTGGATAGGGTACCAAAAGTACAAGAAACAAAAGCATAAGACTTAAACATAAAACCTGAAATTATAAAACTCCTATTAAAAAAAAAACAAGAGGAAAAGCTTGGTCTTGGCAATGATTTCTTGGACAGGATACCAAAAGTACAAGCAACAAAAGCAAAAATAGACAAGTGGGACTACATCAAACTAAAAAGCTTCTGTACAGAAAAGGAACCAATTAACAGAGTGAAAATCCATGGAATGGGAGAAAATATTTACAAACCATATATCTGATGAGGGTTTAAATCCAAAAGGTATAAGAAACTACTGCTCAATAACAACAACAACAACAAACAATTTAAAAATGGGCAACAGACTTGAGTAGACATTTCTCCAAAGAACACACACAAATGGACAACAGGTATATTAAAAGATGCTCAGCATCACTAATCACCAGGGAAATGCAAATCAAAACCACAATATCACCTTATACATGTTAGGATGGCCATTACCAAAATGAACCCAAAATAAAACCAAACAAAACCAAACAAAAAACATAAAATAACAAGTGTTGACAAGGATGTGGAGAAATTAGAACCCTTGTGGATTGTTGGTGGGAATTGAGAAAACAGCATAGAGGCCCCTCAAAATTTTTTAAA